AGGATATGGAGAGACATTGTTTGCCAATATCCTATAAATATCTTATAAAGGGAAAGATACTTCTACCCTAGAACCCAGCAATATGACAACCAAGTATATGACCTAGAGATATTCTGGCATGTTGCTTCAAGAGATGTGGTGACATTAATGAGGCAAAGTTTATAATAGGTAAAAAAAAAAAAAAAAAATGAAAACAATTTAATACTCATTAATAGGGGAAATGATAAAATGAGTATATTAATTCAATGGAACACTGCACAACAATGAAAATAATTAACTGGACCTACAATATCAACAACAATTCATATCAACAAATATGCATTCCATGATACAATCATATTAACAGCTACTTAAACTTATCAGCACATTAAAAAAAAGTGCCAGGCACAATTTTGAGCACCTTTTGCAAATAAACTTATTTAATTTTTACAACAAACTTATGAAATTGACAATTCCGTTAGCCCTACTTGATAGATGAAGACATCGCAGCATGTAAAGATTAAATAACTTATCTAACATCATGAAACTTTTAAGTAAGCAGAGTCAAGATTTAAAACAAGGAAGTATGGTTCCAAAGCCAATACTTTTTAAAAGCACCCAAAGCAATGCCATATATTGTTCATACATATAGTTTATGAACTGGGAGGGAAGAAGGAGAGAGATGAAACTGGGAAGAAAGTCTAACTTCACTGAAGTATAAAGTTCTACACTGCTATTTTAGAATTCAGTGTGGTGACTATGACATAGATCTTTTTATATTAAAATGTATCTGAAGCCAAAATGAAAATGTTAACATTTTTATATGTGGGTATGGGTGTATACTACATATTTTGGTAATTTACTTTAAAGTTTTTCAAAAATAAAAATGTCTCATCTACAAAACAATATTACAATAAAAACAAAAACAAATTTAAGGAATTTAAGCGGGGCACAGTGGCCCATGCCTGTAATCCCTGCTACTTGGAAGGCTCAGGCAGGAGGATCACAAGATTGAGGCCAACCTTGAGAACTTAAGAGGAATCCTGTACAAAATTAAAAAATTAAAAGGTCTGGGGATGTAGCTTAGCAGTAGAACACCCTTGGGTTCACTCCTCAGTACTGCAGCTTTTACTCAAAACAAAAATAGTTAAACTGTGAGTTTACATATGCATATAAACTTTTAACATAAATATGGAAAATGAATTTTCACACTGATCAGAAGGGAAAAACTTTAGCAAAGTGACCCAGAAATTGTTATCTCTTACTTAGTATACTTATTCATTTTGATGACTCACTATTTTTAGTGAAAATAGAGTATAGAACTAATAGAAAAACTCCCATGATATCTTTCTTTTTTCTGGGTACTTTGTCWCTTTTATTTTTTCTCTTGTTTATGATTTTCAACTGAAGGAAGTAAGAAAAAGGAACCAAGAAAGTCTCACACATTTAAAAAAAATAACAACCATAGATATAAATACAGCCTTTCAGAATACAAGATTCCCCAACATAAAGTCAAGTAATGTTTCAAAAATTCATTTTTATATTGTTTGTCTAGGAACTCAATACATTTTCCCACTAATGAAGTTACCAGAGGATATGAACACCAGGAAAAGATACTACCTTAATATTAGCAGTGAAATTGGAAAAGCAAAGTATTCGTTGTGTGCTGATGGCTCATAAAGAAAAAAAGCATTCTCAGGCAAAGTTTGAAGGCTAAAATCATGTTTCATTCACCTTTGTATCCTCAGTCACTAGCAAAATATTGGGATCTCATAAACATCCCAAAACCATTGCCTAATAACTGATGAAGTAATGAGGAAAGACTGGGAAGAGAAGTTCATCAATAGGTGGCACTGTCAACAAGAACAGTTTGGTGTAGGAAGCAAACAGAAAAGGTTGGAGAAAAGCAATGTGCAAATAGTGCAAAACATCTACATATGTAAAACTTAAACAATGTTGGTACTGGTAATTAGAGCAATGCCTTTATCTAAATTATCACCTGTTTCTAGTATTGTGTACTACAAATACACACCATATTTTGGGTTGATTCTGATTCCAATGAATCATAAGATAGTTTCCTTGTTGGAACAATGGTTATTTGGAATTTCAGTATTTCCCCTCATAACCCTTAAAAAATATTCTAATGTCATTTTGTAATTATAAAAGTAATAATTGGCCAGGCACAGTGGTTCAGGCCTGTAATCCCAGTGGCTCTGCTTGGTAGGATGAGGCAGGAATTCAAAGCCAGCCTCAGCAAGAGCAAGGCGCTAAGCACTCAGTGAGACCCTGTCACTGAATAAAATACAAAATAGGGCTGGGGATGTGGCTCAGTGGTTGAGTGCCCCTGACTTCAATCCCTGGTACCTGGCCCCCACCACCCCAAAAGTAATAATTGTTCAGAAGTGAGAAAAAAATATTAATAGCAAAATTACCTTTAATCCTGTCATCCCAGAGACAATAACTGTTAATATTTTATGTATTTCCTGCCAAGCCTTTTAGACATTTACATGTGGTATGTTATAAATATTATATTTCTTTATATTATGATTTTCCTCTCAACATTGTACTTTTTCATGTCAGTAAATGTTTTTTAAAATGATATCTAGTAGCCAGATCCACCACATAGATTATCTTAAATTTCACCATTTCCATACTATATTTTGACTGTTCAATTTTTTTGCTATTATAATAACACCCTATGTAAATTAATACGTTATTAAATGTAAAGTGCTACACTGGCCTTTTAGAATTCAAAGTAAAATTATGGTAAATGTGACTAGGCTCCCATAAAAACCCCTACCATAAATTCTCCTGAACAATAAACAATCAATYGAGGGCACTAAAAAATAGACAAATAAGAAAGGAAAAAAATTCACTACTTTTATCTTTATCCATTCTCTTCTTCTACCTCTGATATGAAAGAGAAAAGTCCTACAAAGATAAGTCTCTGACATTAGAGATTAATAGCAAGTCAATTTTCCTGCTAGAACAACTTACATTTTCCACTTAGAATGAGCTTTTAAGTAAGAAAGCACAAGATTATAATATAATGAACATTTCTGTTTCTGAAATAAGCATGATGCTTGGAAAAATTCTGCAAACAATAAAAGATAACATAACCAATAATCACACAACAGGAAAATAAGTTTTTTCCTAATACTCTGCCATAATTTTTATTATTTTTTAATGAACTAATAAATGTTTCTTTTTAAAAAATATCCTTCCAATTATACTAAATATTATTTAGGTTGTCAGAAACAGGACAATAGTTCCAGAAACTTAAGAATCAATAACTATTTAAGCCAGTGGTAATTCATGTGGAAAAGTTCAAAACAAATCACATCAGCTTCCTTCCTCTCCTAAATGAACAGAAAATTTATACTGTGCTTCACCAATTTTTAAAAATGTAAAATTGTGTACACAGTTTAAAACTCAAGGCAAATTTTATTCATTTGTTCACAATATCGGGCTGATGTCAAGATAATCAACTTCTCTAATAAGTGCATTCTTATAAAATCACACAGTGAAGTAGGTCTGTGTTTAAACATTCAGAAAAAGAAAATTATGTAACGTATATCACAGATACTGATATACTACTCTGGACTCCTTTCTGAGAACTCTGACTCAAAGGGAAATTGTAAAAATGAATTAAAAATTACCCCAAAATGTTTACTTCTCCCCAAAACAAAGTTCCCATAAAAGAGGCCAAATACAGTCTTTCATTATAAGTTCAAACAGGGTTCAAATAGCTCAGAATTCTGTATACTTTTTAATTTTCAGAAGCTGAATCCCAGATCTACTATAAACATAAACTGAATTAACTTACCCAAGAGTTCTTATTATTCAATGTTATATCCCCCAGAGACTACTTTTTATAATAATCTTAAATGCACTACAATAGATTACTGTAACCTGGGCTACACTGTTTACAGGTGTCTCAGTCTCCTTTCCCCAAGGAGGGAAGAGGTGGAAGAGGGTAGGCCAAAATCAGAATGAGGCTATATACATACCAAATAAGAGCTTGTAATTTTATGAGATTGCTTCTTTTATACTAGGGTTATTCTTTTCATTAATGTATAATACATTTTAAAGAATAACATATTCACAGACTAATACAATTTCTGCCCTCAGGAGTCTCTAACTGGCTGACACGCGTTTTCTCCTCAAATAAATGCATGCCTGTTGCCTGATGCCTGTCCTGCTGTTGCAAACAAGACATAACTGTCCTATAAGACAAAAACCCTTCTCTAAGGCTCCTAGGCGTAACCATACGTTTGAATTAAAAGCACCCTGGAACAACAAAAATCGTCCGGCACGTCTGTCGTTTAAAAGCACCATAACGAAAAGCTGTCGCTGCGACCCAATTTTAGGTCACAAGCCTTTTTCTTTTTTCTCCTCCCCTCATAAAGCGATAAACTTTAAAGGTAACGATAATAACCGAATCGCCCACCCCACCCCCACCGCCCCGCAAAAAAAAAAAAAAAAAAAGATTGAAAAACCTGGCCAACTTGGACGCTGGCCGGGCTCACGCGGAACCGGCGCCCGCGGGCCGGGGAAAGCTGGGCAGACCACCAGGAGGAAAAGGCGGGACCCGGGCTCCCCAGGCTCACCCTCTGCGCGTGTTTAAAATACAGAGCAGGTGGGATTCCGGGAAGCCACCTCCGACTTACGTAACGAGCTTGTCAAAATCCAGCTCCAGGACCTCCCCCTCCCCGCCCCCACCACCCAAACAACAACAGCCCCAGGCCAGCCCCTAATAGAAAATCTGGAATGAAAACACCGGAGCCCCCCACGCGTCCGACGCAGAGACGCCCGCGCTACATTCGGCACCGCCGCGCCTTCTCCGGGCGCACGGAGCCCACGGAGGACGGCCCGGATTCCAGGAGCCGGGGCGGAGGTCGCGGCCATCCGTGCCGCCTCCCGAGTCCCACCGCCAGAGTCCCGCGCCCCCGGCTGTCACCTTTCGGGGCCGTGACAGCTCTACAAGCCACCGCTGCCCGCGTAGCTGTCCCCTCACTCACCTCCCCGCTGGCCCCAGCGCAAGCAGCGGGTCAAGCTTAGAGAGCGGCGCCAGATCCCTCACGCACGGCGGCGGGACACGAGGGGCTGAATACCGCGGCGCTCTGAGCCCGCTTAGCTCATCCCCAGCCCAGCGCTCCGCCCTGCGCGGCACCCCCGCCCGCCCAGGCCTGCCGTCTCAGTCAGACGGGACTCCCCCTCCCCTCGCGGTCGCGGCTGCCTCCGCCTCCTTCTTCAGCTCCAGCCGCGGCAGCCGCCGCAACCGGCGCCATCTTGGTAGTGACGGAAAGGGCGGGGGCGGGCATCGAGCCCTCGAACACCAATCACAGGCCGAATTTGGCCCGAGGGCGCAGGGGGGGGCCGGGTTGGAGGTACGAGGTCCTAGCGCCTTCTTGGAAAGGGGCGGAGAAGGTGGGTGGGGCTGGGCCGTGCTGGCTCGTGACGCGCGGTGTAAATGGGGAATCGCACTGTGGTTTCCCCCTCTAGTCGGGAGATCCCGAGCCCCGGGCGGGCGTGGGTGAGGAATACAGTGCTTCCCCTTTTGCCACCTTTTGCCCCTTTTGCTCAAGGCTCCAGCTCGCGCCAACCGACCTGGCTCTTCCTCCCTGGCACTCCCAGGAGTCCTTGCCTAGCCAGAGCGCGGGGCGTCTGTCTGAGATGCGGCTTCTCCGCCTAGGGCACTCAGATTCTGCAGGAAACCCCCTGAGGGGTTAGCAACCACCTAGTAGGTTTCGGACCCAAGATAGCAGGCCAGGTAAAATGGGGAACTTAGGGGGGTTCTCCGAAAACTACGTTGATAAAACGCCTATTGTTGACTGAAGGGGTGTCCATTACATTGATAAATTGGATATGGCCTACTTAAACCTGACCATGGCTCCACCATTAATGGCTGTGGGCAAGTTGCCTCTGAAAAATGAGTATAATAAAGGTCGATAAACCCTACAGGATTACTCTGAGCGTTAAATTCTGTAGTACATGTGAACTGCTTAGCATAATGCCCAAAAGTACTCAATAAATGTTAGATAATATTCCAAGGACAAATGAAAGAAGAAATGGGACCTTAAAAATCCCTCTTGTTTCCAGTCAATTTATGCAAAACAGGCGTTCATCCTTTTTACCAACTCTACAGTTTTACTTTCTCCCTCCTTTCTTCCATTGTAGACAGTCAACAAACATTCACTGAAAGTCAAGCATTGGGGACACAATGGTGAGGGAATCAAAAAAATCTGCCTTCAGCAAGTTGCAGTCTAGTGGGAGAAGATCAAACAATAAATGAATACATTTGGAGGGGAAACATACCATAAGGTTATGAAAAGAATTCTGGAATAGTAAATAACAGGATGGTTTTAAAAACTACAGTGATGAAGGGAAGGCCCATCAGACACAAGAGAACCAATAATGGGAGAAAGGCCCTGGGAAATGTTTACGACAGAGGGAAGGACTGTGTAAAGAACTTGCAAAAGGAAGCAGCTTGGCTGTTAGAACTGAGTAGAATTCATGGTGCTGGGGAAATCTTTTTGGCATGGAGAAGCCTAGCCTGAGACTGGAGAGGGAGGGAGGGCTCAGTCCTACAAGGCCTAGGAAAATAGAAACAAGATTGGGTTTTATTCTAATTGTAAGCAAAAGCCATTAAAAGGTTTTAATTACAAAGCAAGGGAGTGGGGAACACTGATGTTTGCAATATGACATCTGTGTTTATATTTCAGGCAATATATGGACCAAAGAACTGAATTTAAAGTTAAGAAAATTAAAAAAAATCTGAGGTTGAACTTCTTCAACACCAAGTTGGCCAGATGATGTATTTTAATCTTCAGTTCATTGTTGTTAAAAAAAAAAAAAAATGTGAGCATCACATAACTTTGTGCACAATAAACAGTATTTTCACTGAAAATTATTACATAATTTGTTTCTAAAAGTTTTGTATGTCTTGTTGGTATAATGTATAGTTGCCTATACAAATCGATTTTTTTTATTGATTGCTAATAACAATCCAAATCAATCATTCTTAGTCATTTTTTGCACAATGTGCTACTTGGAGAAAGAATATGGACTAATGTTAATACGTAATTTTTCAATACTATAGTTCCTTATTTATTTATTTATTTATTGGTAGTAGAGATTGAACCAAGGGGTGCTTTCCCAATGAGTCATATCCCCAGCCTTTTGTGTTTTTGACTTTGAGAAAGGGTATCACTAAGTTGCTTAGGGCCTTGCTAAATTGCTGAGGCTGGCCTAGAACTTGCAATCCTGCTGCCACAGCTTCCCGAGTCACTGGGATTATAGGCCTGCACCACAACAGCTGGCTTAATTTTTTTAAAAGTGCTTAGCTTTGCATTTTCTAATAAAATACAAGACATGAATTTATTTTATTTTATTGTGATAAAATACATACAAATTAAATTTACCATTTTAACCATTTTTAAATGTATTGTTCAGTGGCATTAAGTATATTCACGTTGTGGTCCTCACCATTGTCCATGTCCAGAAGATTTTCATCATCCCAAACTAAAACTTTATATCCACTGAATTATAACTTCTCATTCTCCCATACCCCCAACTCCTAAACTACTATTTTACTTTATAAGACATTAATTTTTTTAAGGTATCTGGCAAGTCTTTTCCTCACACTCACAAAATAGGTACATAGGTTTCAGTAGGTTTTTTTACTTAAGCTGGAGATTTCAAAGAACCATGTAAGTTTAGAAGCTACCACCCAAGAAATAAGGATTAATGTAAGTTTTTAGCTCAGATGGTTACCCATAATACTAATAAAGAATACTAATATATTACCAATTAATTTTTACACTGAAAAGTGTGTTCCATAATCATGAACTGTACTCTCTAGTCTCTAAATGTATGCTCTAAAATGGCTCAGACAACAATCTGCCCCTCCTTTTGTGTACTGCTATAAATGCTTATCTTATTAACGCTATTAATTTTCATTTAAAAAAGATTCTGACTCTGTAGATTTAATTTTAAAAATCACTCTTCAGTGAAGGATGGATTGGAAAAAAGTAAGAGAAGGAGATAAATTTTTGTCACTTTTATATAACCAAGCATTCTATAAGGGAATGAAGATCAAAATTTTTAACTGTGTTAAACAAAAAGTTTAATCTCCTTACCCTTCTGGCTGCCAATGTCAGCTACAATGTTTTTATCCCCAGTGGAAGAACATGGCTATTGGCCAGTCAGTGACTGCTAGGGAGGGTTTATAATATAAAAGGGCACAAGGAAACTTTTGAGGGTGATGGATTATTCACTACCTTGATTGTGGTGATGGGTTCACAGGTATATACATATATCAAACTTATTATGTTGCAATTTTAAGAAGGAGAATTGCAAGTTTGAGGTCAGCCTCAGCAACTTAGCCAGACCCTGTCTCAAAATAAAAAGGACAAGGGATGTGGTTAGTGAAGCACCCCTGGGTTCAATACCCAGTACCAAAAAAAAAAAAAAAAATTGCATTCTTTAAATATGTGCAGTTCTCTATTTCAATTATGTGTCAATAAAACTCTTTTTTTTTTTTTTTTTTTTTAGAGTGAGAGAGGAGAGAGAGAGAGAGAGAGAGACAGAGAGAGAGAATTTTTAATATTTATTTTTTAGTTCTCGGCAGACACAACATCTTTGTTGGTATGTGGTGCTGAGGATCGAACCCGGGCCGCACGCATGCCAGGCGAGCGCACTACCGCTTGAGCCACATCCCCAGCCCCTCAATAAAACTCTTTAAAAAAAGTTTTTTAATGTCAAATTGGTAACTCCTATTCCCTCCCCCTTAAAAACAGATTAAGCCTTTTATTGGTTTTAAATATTGCTAGATCTGTGGGTTAATTCTTTTTAAAAAAATACTTTTTAGTTGTAAATAGGCACAATACCTTTATTTTTATTCATTTATTTTTATGTGGTGCTGGATCGAACCCAGAGCCTCACATGTGCTAGGCAAGTGCTCTACCACTGAGCCACAATCCCAGTCCCAGTCAATTCTTTTTTGAGGACTAGTTTGGCATATTAAAATTTTTGACTAGCAGCAAAGAGCACTCAGTTGGAAATATACACATTTATATATAAATATTCACCTACATTACAGAATATTAGTGAAAATGCTATAGGCAAATAGTTGCAAGAATAGCTTACAGAATGGGATTCTAAAAAGTTTCAAAATTCTTCAAAAGTTGGTTTGAAGTATTTTTATCAAAGAAAATCACTTCTGAGCAAATATTATTTAAAAGCAGTAGAAAAGCAATAGGGAAAATTTTTTATTTTTAAGTACCTCTGAGTTTTGGGGGGTTTTTTTGAGAGATAATTTTTTAATATTTATTTTTTTCGGTGGACATAACGTCTTTATTTTATTTTCATGTGGTGCTGAGGATCCACCCCAACACCCCTCGCATGCCAGGCGAGCGTGTTACCGCTTGAGCCACATCCCCAGTCCCTACCTCTTAGTTTTAACTGTCATATCCTGAGTCCTCTCAACATCCCAGGCATTTGTGACTAAGGTCACAGCTAAATAAACTTGAGCCTTAAATGTGACTTGGGCAAGAGATTCTAACAATGTAGACATAAGCCAAATAGAAAAATGTGGCTTATAAATTTGAGTCCCATGCCATGCCCTTCCTGAAATGATGTCATCTTTTACACCTGGAACTCTGGCTCTTTCTTAGGAATTATTTTAAAACATTATAGTTCCAGTGTTGCATGAGGGAAAACTATGAGACCAGTAACCATTTATAGTACTGGAAGCTCACGTTTTATAGTCCAGTTCTCTCCACCTGTTAAGTCTAGGTACCTTAATTGCTATGCCAGATGTTTTCCACATCTGTAAATGAAAACATGGAGCCTTAAAGTAGTCCTTGATATCTATGCTACAGGGCTTCCTCAGGGGTGAAAAAACCTTCCATCAGAAATTTATGAGCTTTTAGAAACTCTCTGGATACGTCCCAAGTAGAGCACGTGTTGCCAAATTGCATTCATTGTAAAACGGTGTTCGAGTGATATTGCAATGTATTTAATCCACAAATGGAAATCGATCAGCAGTGTGGTTAAAAGACAAATCTGGCTAAATTCTTTTTGAAAGACAATTTGCCTGAACAACTTTCAAGAATAATAGTAAGAACTATCATATTAACAATGACAAATTTTAAACCTGGTACTTGAGAGGAATGACCAAGGACAGGATTGCTGCAGTCCAGGCCACTGTTGTCTCTGCCCTTTGGTGGCCATCTGAGGAGTCATCTTTGACTCAGCACTTTTTCACAACTTT